TTTCTAATTTTTTTAAGGTTATTATTTAAAATTTGAGGTGGAGTATTTTGTTGCTTTAAGACAAATAATATATATTGTAGTAAAAATTACTTAAGCCTCTTGAAATTGAATAACTTAGATGGGAAAATAATTTAAATTAATATTTTTTTGGTAAAATAACCCAAAAACTACCCCTTAGTTTCTCCCGTAACTCTTATATCAGTTAAAAATAATCAGATAAAACAGCTTTAAACATGGTAATTTATTTTATGTGGTTGTTTAAATCCATTGTTTAAAAATGTTCAAAAGGCACTTTAAGAAACATTTAAAAATACATTTTTTTCTGACTTATTGGTGGATCACTTAAAATAAGCAAGTCACCACACATTTTTAAATCATTCATACTATTACCTTACATAATTTTTAAATTCCAAAACACAAATATTTACTGTGTAATATAACACACTGCTTAGCAGTAAGATTAGTTTCCCTCTAATATATACTTCATATGGATTATTAATTTGTAGGGCCCTGCAAAGTTATTTAAACTGAACTGATATAAACTAAAAACTAGAGAGCTAAAAAGGTAAAAGGAGTTGAAATAGAGCACTATTCACTTCTGGAGCCAGTTTTAGAGTCGATTTCTCGGGAGAGAATTTGTGAAGTTTTTTACTCAAATCTGTATTAAAACTTCTATTTCAACTCCAACATATAAACATAAGTTGTATTTTTAAGTTAACAGAGGTTACATTTAGCATAAAATAAACCATAGGTTGTCCCCCAGCTTGCATAAGAGCGTTTCTGTCAGGCCTAAAATAAAGTAGAGAAATGAGGCAAATGAGGTTTTTTGGTTTGTTTTTGAAAAAAGGTGGTAGAGGAAATGAAATCCAAATAACTTTACTTCATTTAATAATTGTGTATCTAGAATTAGTTTAAAACTGTAGACATTTAAGTAGGGCAAGTATCCTGAGAGCCAGCAGGCATTATTCTTAGATTTTTTTTTTACTTCCAATCTCCTAGGGAAATCTAAAGTTAATAGGTATAAAATTATTAGTAAGTGATACAAATCCTAATCACTAATCACAGCCAAATTAACCTTGCAAAGGCAGCATTAAGAATAGTTAGAAAATGGAAATTAGTTGTAAAGAAAATAAAGGGCAACAAATACAAAGAAGAAGGAATCGTCAAAGACGGAATACTCTAATGAACTGAAAATTTAAAATACAAATCTAATGTTGTATCCTAACAAAAGGATAGACTTGATCTAATCATAAAGTGAGACAGTTTTTTCAAGTCTCAATCTGAAAATACTATCATTTGATAGTATTTTTGATAGGCTCAAGGAAATGAAAAATTAATACTCAAGAAACAATTATGAAAATAACCCGTTAACAAATTTAATGCTCAAATGCAATTACCGTATTTCAAAAAATACCAAAAACTGGCCAGTAATTTATTTTGAATCTTCTTACAGTAACAAAAATTCCTCTGAAATTTAAGATATTTGAAAACAAATAATTGAACTCTGAGACAAAAATCTGCTTTGTATCACCTATGAACTTCCCACTTGAAATACAGTATACTGTTCCTGGGAAACATAAACATAGCAAAAGCCTTATATTTTGAAACAACACTAAAACCATTTATCCAAATGACAAAGATCTCAATTTAAAAGACAGTAAGTTATCACCATGAAATCCGGTTTTATGTGCTCTGCTGAATACTTGGGAAAATTTTTTGCTGTATGAGGTCATATAGGAGGGTCAACTGATTCTTGACAGTGATCAAAGTTTGATATTATTAATTAGCAGAAAAACATTCTATATATTATAAAGTAGTATTCTACCTCCATTTAAAAATTTTTATTAACAATCAGAAATTTTTTTTACTAACTAGTGGGGACACTCATTTAGCTATGCTTTTAATGAATTAGTATGTACTTACTAGTTCTTAATAAACTCTTCCCACCCCAATTGTGAAACTAAGCTTGGAGAATTAAATATGTTAGTTACTGTGGGCCCTGACATTAGTGGAACCTGAAGAAGCCAAAGAATTTTGTCAAAAACTGAATGATCCACGGACCCTTCAGGTTATCTTTAAAATCTCTGACATTTAATATGGTATGATCTTGGATAACACAGATTTAAAACTTGCTTTATCTAAATCTTTGAAAGATATCCTACTTAAGGGGCAATAAATCTTCAGCACATCCCAAGGATCATTTGCATCAGAATCACCCAGGTCTTGGTTCCCAAACTAGAATGAATAGGACTCACCAGGAGGGCTTATTTAAACACTACAGCTAGCCTCCACCTCAGGAGGTCAGAGGTGGGGGCCCAGGAAAGGATGCATTTCCAAGTTCCCAGATGAGGCAAATACGATGCTAGCTGGGGACAACACTTTGAGAACCAGTGAGCAAGGGAATCTGGTAAGAATGCATACTAACGGTTCTCATGCTAGAATCAGAATTTCTGGGACTGGGGTCTTGAAATATGCATTTTAACAAGCTCCCAGGCAAGAAAACGGTTCTCATGCTAGAATCAGAATTTCTGGGACTGGGGTCTTGAAATATGCATTTTAACAAGCTCCCAGGCAAGAAAACGGTTCTCATGCTAGAATCAGAATTTCTGGGACTGGGGTCTTGAAATATGCATTTTAACAAGCTCCCAGGCAAGAAAAGAAGAACCACAATTTGAGAGCCACTGCGACAATTTGCCTGGTTAATATGACTATTACTGGCTGATGTATCAGATCACACATGTTAGTAAGTAAAACTGGAAATAGTGCTAAATGATTAACCTCCAAGGTGATATGGTAAAAAGAACACACAGTCTTTGAGCATAAATCCTGGCTCTGTGATTACTAGCTCTGTGACAGTGGAAAAGTTACTTTAATTCTCTGAGCCTCAGTTTTCTCATCTACAATACAGAAAGAACACCCAATTTGTGAAGATTAACACTAATGCACACAGAATATCTAAGCACACTAGATGGCATACAGTAGGCATTAGATAAAAACTAGCTATTACTTAAGAATTGTATGAAATACTTCCTCCAATATCTAATTTGATTAAAGCAGATATTTCATTCATTTAGAACAAATATTTATACTCTAAGGTAACAGAATAATAAAACCTTATACTTCTTGCTCCATAGGCTGGGCCAGACAAGTGTTTGAAAAGTTGTACATATATTCACTCATTTAATCCTTGTTAAAATCCTGTGAGGTAGGTAGTATTACTGTCCTTAACTTAATAGAGAAAATTGAGGCACAGAGAGATTAAAATTGCTCAAGGGTACAAAACTAATAAGTGACAGATCAAGAATTTAAACCCAGGCAATCTGACTCCAGATCCCAGGATTCATCACCATGTTAATTTCCTATGAGTAAATTTTTAGGTTTTTAGAAAGTAGCATATATGGACTGCAAATAACTTCATATCGACACCAAGGTGAAGAGTTGTTTAAAGAACAGAATGAATGCCTTGAAATTCTGGCAGATGATAGTGCTATGAAAAAAAACAAAAGACAATTTAAGGTAAAAACAGGTGTGACTTTTCACTGTGTGAACAGAATAATCCATAATTACCACTAATTGTCACCAAGATGAACATCTTTTCAATACACCATCCAAAGAGATGATTTTTGACATGTTTTGGCACAATAAATATAAACTCTTTAGCTAAGCAGCAGATTCAAGGGCATGAAAGCCATGTAAAATTAGCATGATGATAAACATAAACAATGTAAATCATTTGTGACATTTAAGATAATCTTATAGAAAGCTTGCAAAATATTCTTTCCTTCCAGAAATCCTTTAAATAGAAAGTCACTAAAATTAGAATGAAATATTTATGAATATATTTTTGATGACAGTGTTGAATGGGTATTCTGCTCCGTTAGAATTATCCATTGGCAAAACCAAAAACCAATCAATAAACAAACCCCCAAATAGTAAGTCAGCATTAAAATTCAGGCTGTTGTTCATGAATTAAGTATTTGGTCTTTTAACATCTGGCATATTTCAGTTTGTTTAAGCACTCTGTATTTCTACTGTTTTTAATGACCTCTGATCAAACTCGTACATTCAAATTATTTTGCCAATGCAACTAATAGCCACCTCAGAGCCTAAAAATGAATGTCTTAACCTTGCTTTAAACAAGTTATGAAAGGCACAAACATAATTCTCAACTCTCAACAAAATGATAACAAAAGGAACTATAATTATGTAGTTGAAAAGAGTTTTACATATTCCATTTAAAATGTCACTTAGTAATTCCTGAGAGTGCTTCTGATCTAAGAAAAGCATCCCCAGATAGCATTAAATTTACTATTTATTAGTTACCCACAATTAACAATGGGTAAATTTGGGAACAAAATATTTTAAAATGTATGTTTATAGAATGCTATGTTTTGAGTAAATAAATATTAATAATTAAAATCATATTCAAGAATAAACATATTTAGAAAAGAGACAACGGGGACTCAGTAAAACATTAACTACTAATTAGAACCAAGTATATAATACAGTCAAGGCCCATATAATTTCAAAATGTGGCTTTATTAATGCACTTTAGGACAAGTGCCATTTTTACTTTAACCTTGTCCGGAAGAAATATTGCCAATTATAGTCACAGGAAAATTTTCATTAGACAAAAACTGCATGTGTGAGTGTGTGTGGGAGTGGGTTTGGTTCATTTATATCATACTGCAAATATAAACTCGTATCTTGAGTTTATAAATAATATTAAGCAACAATATTTCTAAAATTTTCTTTAAGGCAGATCTATTTAGCATCATGTGTTACTAAGATGTGCAGTGTAGTTTTAGAAAATTTAAATGTTCTAGTTTCTCTGTGAAAATAATACATGTGGTCAAGAATAGAAAACAAAAATCTCATTTCTAGTTCCTCTGCCTGGCCACCATTTTAAAAACACAAGTTTTTCATATATATATATATATATATATATATATATATATATATATATATACACACAATATATATATATATATACACACACACACACACACACACACACATATATATATATGTATCAAAACACATTTTAACAGACTTCACAGCTCACTTAAAGCTTCAGTTTACAGTCATTCATATGAAAGATTTCTCTAATATGGAATATTCACTTAGGAAGAATTCCTCACTGGGATTCCAGTGTTCTGTATCAGAAATGTAGTTGTTCTTCAGTGCAATGTTAGACATTTTACCTCTTCATTTATGTTTTTCTTTCAAGGGTTCTCATTGTACTTTTGGATCTTCATTTTTGTACGCTCGACTTTTTTCTTTTAGTATATTCTCAGGTAAGGCAGGTTGATATCTGTATAAATAACCATATGGACGAAGATGATAAACGAGGTATTCTAACTCATACATAGTTGTAGGATCAACATAGTGAAATGAAACTGCGAGATCAGAACAGCAACCAGGACCCTAAAAAGTAGTGGAAACAAGCATTATTAAGATATAATACATAGTTAACATACAATATTCACATACTGATAAAGGAAACATTAATTTTAACAGAATCCAAGCATTAAAGCTGGCAAGGTAAAGCAGAGGCACCTTATTTATTAGACCTGTGGAAGAAACCAAGAGTTTTTAGATTTAAAACTAAACATGAAAACTGCTAAAATATATCTACCTGAAATAATATTCTCTCATATTCTATAGGGCTTTGCAAAAAAAAAAAAAAAATAAAAAATATATATATATATATATATATATATATATATATATATATATAGAGAGAGAGAGAGAGAGAGAGAGAGAGAGAGAGATAGAGAATTCTCAAATGAAAGGGGCAACTATACAAAGGATGAAGCTCCATTTCTGAGTTTTGCTTTCTCTTCATAAGTTCTGTCTATAACTTTTCGTTTGGCTCAACCCCAGGAAGACATCTTTGGAGCATTCAAGGACTACAAAAGCCTTACCCATATGTGTCTGCAACCTAATACTTCATCTGCACATCAACCAAAACAGTGTAGTATTTAAGAGAGGAAGTGCTGAGTCAAATCTAAGTTTGAATCTAAAGTTTGTCTACTAGGGTCAAATTCTGCCTACTAGTGTCTGACCTTGGGCAAGTTACTTAATATCTATAAGCTTCAATTTCTCCATCTGCAAAAGATGGCTATTTAAAGGAGATAATGTTTATAAAATGTTTGCAACCATCTTGGCCTATAGTAAAGCCCAATAAATGTTGACATTATTTTTGACAAAATAGTCATATTTAGGTGGCCCTCAGTAAGTGTTACACATTTGTCCAGATATATAATTCTCACAGATTCCTAACACAGTTAGTATGAAAAACAGGTTTAAAAAAGACAAAAACAGGGGCAGCTCGGGTGGCGCAGCGGTTTAGCACTGCCTGCAGCCCAAGGTGGGATCCTGGAGACCCGGGATCGAGTCCCACATCAGGCTCCTTGCATGGAGCCTGCTTCTCCCTCTGCCTGTGTCTCCGCCTCTCTCTCTCTGTGTCTCTAATGAATAAATAAATAAAATCTTAAAAAAAAGAGAGACAAAAACAAGATAATAAAAAAAATACAAGCAAACAACAAAAAAGCAAGAACATAGCAGAAAAAAAATTTAAAAATTGGTCCTAGAATTGAACACTTATAAGGTTATTTTGGTATCTAGAGCATGCTTCACCCAGGTGACTCCAACAAAACTTCACATTTTATCTAATGTCTTTGCAAGGACTCAAGAAGAAAGATATTCTGGTAAGTTTCCAGAGAAGATCCATACTGAACATTTAATAATTCATATTTGGAAGTAGATAGCTTATAATGCAGTAAAAATTATCAGGGAATTGTCCACTGTATTTTCTATGGCTTTCTCTATGAACTTCCCTTTGAAACAAATGCTGAATATGTGGGGTTCTGAACAACCATGTAGCACTGGAAAATTATTTGCTGCCTACTTCTTAACACAATTAGGCAATGTAAGGATAGGAACAAATCTGAAAAGTAAAATTATAAGTCAACTTGTGATCATCAAATCAGCTCTGTCCAATAGATATATGTGAGCCACATGATGCAGTTTAAAATCTAGTGGCCACATTTAAAATGTAATTTAAAAAATGGGAATTATTTTGAATATATTTTAAATGAATAAATCTATTTTTTTCAACACGCAATATTTTAAAAATCATTAATGAAATCATTCTTTTTATTTGTGCTAAGTTCTTGAAATTAGGAATGGATTTTATACTGACAGTATATCTCAATTTGGTCTAGCCATACTTTAAATATTCAACAGTCATACCTGGCTAGAAGCTACTATACTAGCCAGTGTGTATTAAAACTAAAAGACTAGACTAATAGCAATTAATTTTAAATTGTTGAACCTCTCTGAAAGCAACTTTATATGGCCCTGATATACTATATTTTTGATAAGATTTACTGCATTAATTACATTTCACTCTATTGCATTATTGTTTTTTTTTTTTTTTACTAGATGACCAGGATACTGTTACATTTATAAGCAATAAAAGACAATAAAAGAAAACAGCTATAATATTAGGAACAAAATATCTCTTTGCATATAATAATGGTTACTAACAAAACTCAAGAGAGTTCAGGTAAAAAAAAAGAAACAAAACCATCAGATATAGAGAATCCAAGAACAGAGCTAGATTTTAAAGATGTTTTTAAGAAACAACCGCTTTTATATACATCAGTTAAAAAGTTTTTAAAAACAGCCCAAGTAGAATAGTAACAAAAATATTAAAAGCATAGGGAGATATTTAAGAAGAAATAAAATCTGGAGAAAACTATAAAGCTTACTAAGCCATCTAAAATAAATTTTAATAATACCAGGCATTCATTGTTCCTAAATTGATAAATACATAAAGGCATGCACGTTACCAAAGTAGTTTGATAGAAAAAGGATATAAAGGAATATATACTCTTAGATTAATAATTTCAAAATTCTGTAAAGCTAGGAGGTTCAAAACAATATGGTGCTTAAGGCAAAACCAAATAGGATGATGGAACAGAAGTGAAATACCAGATACCAATCCTATTGGAAGAAACACTATAGTATGTGATAAAGGAGATTATTTTAAATCACTACTGAAAATAAAAATTGGTACTGGGATGATCAGTTAACAACTTGGAAAAATCAGGAGCTCTCAACCTTGACCATATATCAGTAAGTTTCAGATGGCTTACGGTTAATAGAATTGAAGAATAGAATAAATCCTACTTGGTCATTTCTAATCTACAACAAAAGCAATTTCACATTTAGGGGCATATCTATATAAGTGTGTATGTATACACTATTACACACATATACACTAGTTTAAATCCTCTGTATAAAGACTGATTATAAATTATCTGGTGAAAACTCTATTCCTAGGAAACAGACTTTAGTCCTAGGGAATAAACTCACTTCTAGGGAAGTAAGAAGGTGGTAGGAAAAGGGAACTGTATGAAGAAGAAGTTAAGTTCTAAACAACTAACCAACTTAAGAATCTAACTCTTTGATTAACTGTAATATCTCATATAGTGACTTGCTAAAATAAAAATTTTCCACACTGTGTTTGTAGTGACTACTACAGAGCAAAAGTGTATGTATGAGATTTAGGATAACTCTGAAAATAGCAGTAATTTCAGAGTTAATAATTCAGAAAATAGTATTATTTCTGAGTAATATTTCAACTCTGAAAATAGTAAATATTCTTCTCACTTTTGGAGATGAAAATTTATTAAATGATGGATGAGTAATAATAGAAGTTTGATTCACATTGTGTTTGTATAGAACCTCCTGAGGAAGAAGAGGCAACATTAGAAAGCTGGGTCAACTTTGGTGCTTCCAAGTCTATTTTATTGTCTTCAATATAATTGAATAAACTTTTATAGAAAAAATATAAATTTGGCATCCATTTCAAAAACCACTGCAATTTAAACAAAAGATATACCACAGAAATATTTATTTTGCTCATAGAAAGTATATTGTTAGGTATACCCTATCAGTAGGTGGAAATTGTGAGTAGAACTCTTAAGGGCAAGAAGGATACTTTACTGTTTACAAAAACAGTGACAATTATGACGTCCTTTTGCTATTACTGTATGGAGCAGATACTCCTAGTAAAATCTTATATGCATTTAAATGTCTTTGTTATATGTACTTGCAATGTTCTTAAGTTTGTATAGATCTTTATATGGAAAAGGGTATAGAATTATACTGAGGGTCATATTATACTAAGAAAAGTTTACATTAAAAAAAAAATTCAAAGTAGCACCTCAGTAGAACCAAACAAAAACAGACTATCACAAAGCAGACTTAGGAATACATCTGTTTTATAGTCTAGGAAATTGTTGCATCCACAATAGAAAGCTAGCATAAAGTTTCAGACTCATTACATAGAACTGAACTTAAAACTGTTCATTTATTAAAGTGGAATTTTATCCCAACAGTAGAATATTTATTCTAACATCCCTCAGCCCCCCACCCCTTTGGGGGGACATATATTAATCATGGAGGGGAGCTCATGATGGAAATCACAAGAGTTTATAGGCATGGTTTATAATAATGCCTAGGCTATTACCAGGACAAATTACTTGCCTTTTCTGAGCCTCAATTTTGTCACCCATTAAATGCAGAATTAAAAAAATAAATGAATAAATAAATGCAGAATTACTGTAAGGAAAACTATTGTGTCTGTATAAGTACCAAGAACATACTAGTGGTTGACATCAGAAGCAGTAGTGATTTGCTTCAATGTTTCCTTTAATGCTGATTGTCTAAAGATTAGGTCAAATGTTCTAGATCAAGGTTTCTTAACCTCAGTGTTAAGTGTCACTGACATTTTAGGTCAGATAATTCTTTATTGTGGGGAGCTATCCCAAGCACTGTGAGACATTTAGCGTCTAGTAGGTTTACAATCCTGTGGGTTTCTACCCACTAGATGCCAGTAGAAACTTCAACTCAATGCCAGTCTCCCAGTTAACAACCAAAAAATGTCTCTAGACTTTGCCAAATGCAAAAAAAAAAAAAAAAAAAGCCTGCAGTTGAGAACCACTGTCCTAGATAATTTGTTTCTTTATTTTTTCTTTTTTTAAGATTTTATTTATTTATTCATGTGAGACAGAGAGAAAGGCAGAGACACAGGCAGAGAGAGAAGCAGGCTCCATGCAGGGAGCCCGATGTGGGACTCGATCCTGGGACTCCAGGACTACGCCCTGGGCCAAAGGCAGATGCTTAACCACTAAGTCATCCAGGGATCCCCCTGTCCTAGATAATTTGAAAACACTGGCTTGTAAAGATGAGAATGTCAACATGAAGTGTATTATTTGTATCTTAGGACCAGAAAAAAAGAAGGCGTCGAGTACTAATGACTTGTCTACATGCATTATTAATCAATAACAGATCTGAATCTAAAAGCTAGGTTTCATGATTCCTAGTCTTCTTCAGTCACTTACTGCTGCAATGCTCGTAACAATGACAAACTGGAAACAACCTACTAAATGTGTATAGTAGAAGAATGGATAAATTATTGTATACTCACATTAGATTGTACAGCAGCCTAAATTAATGAAGCACACATACTAATGTTGATAAATTTTAATGTTGTATACAAAGGGCAAATGTTCAAGGATATATAAGGAATAATTCCATTTATTTAAAAACCTACAAAATAATACTATATATTATTTATAGACACATAAACATGTAGGAAAAAAAGATACAAACATGCAAGGTAATGAAGAATACTAAGTTCATGATAGTGGTTAACACTCAGGAAGAAGATAAGAAAACTGGATTGAGGAGGGTACAGAGGCCTCAACTGTATCTATATCATTTTCTTATAAAAAAAAAAAGGAAGCAAATGTGGCAAAGATTAATATTTGGTGAAGCTAGTTGGTGGGTATACAGGATACTAATTCTTCTCAAACTTTTAGCTATATATTTGATAAAATAATGTATTTTAGATAAAATCCTCAGGAATGAAGGCTAAGGTATTAAATGGGAGGCTTATTACGTGCTTACAGTGTGATAGGTACTATGCTATACCGTAATCACAATTGAATGAAACAGGTAGATCGGTTCCATTTTATAAATGAGGCAACTCCGGCTCAGAAGTCTGGCAAATTCTGTCCATTAAAAGTTACTGAACTATTAAGTGGGAAAAGACTTGAATCTAAGTCTTTTTGAACCTCAGTCTTTTCATGCATTGTTCCTGAAGCCCAGAAGGCTCTTCATACAGCCTGCTCTCTAACATCACTCAGATTTCTGTTCAGAAGTTACCTCTTAGAGACACTTTCCTTAATCACCCAGACTAGGGTACTCCACTCCACTCTGGGTCACTCTATATCCCCTTACCTGGCTTCATTTTACATTGCGGCACTTATCACTACCTAAAATCATATTTTATCTTTACTAGTCTGCCTGTTTACTGTATGTCTCTGTACCCAGTTCATAATATACTGTTATCAGGTTCATGAGAACTGGAGGTTGGCCATATTTACTGCTATATTTTTAGTGCCTGACACAAGCAATAAATAGTAGATAAATAATAGCAATATTTATTGAATTACTACTACTGACACTCATGTTCTCATTTTTTTTTGTTATACATTGACACTCTACATAAAAAGAGCAAAGGAGATTCTTAGTTATTGGTGCTAAAGAAACATATTATTTGCTAGTTTTTTTTTTCAAGTAAACAAAAGTCAGTCTAAGTATTTATATAGTAATAAAATTTCTAAACTTACCTCTACAGGAGGATAATAGTTATAATTCCAGTACCAAAAGGTTCTAGGTAGATAACCCTTGATTAAGTGGTGTTCTGGTACAAAAGGATGAAAAGTTTCTTTTCCAGTGGTATCTCTGGAGTCTCCTGCTTCTACATTTATAATTTCCATGCATCTCCCCAAAGCTAAGTCTTCAATGGAGGAACTGTGTGTACATTTGTCTGTTTTAAATGCATCAACAAATCTCCTCAAGGCTTCTTTGCTCAGTACATATCCTGCTCCTCCACTCATGTAGCCCTGTCTTACATAGGGCTTAAATCTTCTCCCAAAGTAAATGGGTTCTTCAGGGTTGTATTTTGAGAGAAGCCATCTTAAATTATCTAGTATAACATACGTATCGTCATCTGCTTTCATAAACCAATCAGCATCTTCTAAATAATGATCATGAACATACTGAAAAGCTTTAATTGTTTTCCAGTACAGTTGGTCTCTGCCTTCTCTGGTTTTTAATCCCACAGCAGGGAAGTCTTTATTTTCTTCGGAACTCATAAATAACACTTTATTACAACGCTGGGCCCATGTAGCTTTGACGTGTTTGGCCTTTTTCTCTAGATTTTGAGGCCCTGTCATAACCCAGCAAAGAATTTTAACCTTCTGATAGAGGTTTTCAGCGATGTCTGTGTTCTCATCTATTAAACAAAAAATTTTTAGAGTTATATTTACATGGATGTAAAACTCAAATAAATTATATTGAAAAAAAATTTTTTAAACAGTTTCAAAAACCCCCTTCTATTTACCTTTCTACCATTAGTAATTTAGCTGAAAGAAAGCAAAACTCAACCTAATATGAATTGACATTCTGATTTATTGGTTTCTTGTCAATCTTATCCAGGAGATCCACTGGAGTTAGCAAGAATTGCCACTATGACTTAAATTCTTACTACTCAAATGGTGGTTCATTGACCAACAGCATCAGGCATCAGTATCACTTGGGTGCTTGTAAGAAATGCAGCATCTCAGGCTCCACCTCAGACCTACTCAATCTAACTGCATTTTAACAAGTTCTCTTGGAGGTTTGTATACATATAAAGCACAGTCTTGGACACTCTGCTTTTCACTTCATTCTACAAAGATTCAACTGGTTCTCAACAGAACATAGACAGGAATTTCTCAGAGCTCTAAATAAGCTTCTGAAGACAGGAAAAAACATGCTGCAGAGTTGAGGTTACTGCTGATAGTAACATATTTCATTACAAAATGCAAATCCATCAGTGAGAAACAGAACAGGTAGCAGTCATGTTTCCAAGACTGTCTAGAGCAGTGTTTTTCAAAGTACTCTTTTGTAAAGAGGAGGAAGCTTATGCCAGAATATAAAGTACCATATTACTTCTTTCACCAAGGAAGTCTTGTTATACGCAACCCCCCCAAAGAAGTCCACTTAACTAAGCAGTGAGTTTAAATGAGTTCTATCTTTGTGCAAGCTCCTTATTTGGGTGCAGACTAGTAACAAACAACTCAGACTGTCAAGGCTAGGATCACATTCCGAGTATCACTGTTTTAAAGGAAGAGTCCAATTTTAAGATTCTAGACCTTAAGTGCTTGGTGGAGGATCAATTTTTATTTCCAATGGTTAGAGACCCATTCTTTTATAAATATGCTAAAAATGAATTACTAGAAAAATAAAACTAAAAAAAAATACAAATCCTAATTCTTATTTTTTTAGACAAAATTACTGTTAAATTACCATGAAAGTTTCTAACTGTTTAATCCCAATTTCAATACCTACATAGTTGTAGACCAGCATGAATCTGCAAAACCACACTTTTTGTAGTAATGCTCTAGGCAGAATCCTGAGGAAAGCATATCCTTAAGGTTAACATCAACCCAGTGAGTTACAAAAGCTCAGTCCTGTGAAAAATTAACCACTGGAAGCATATATTTCTAGTTAACTGATAGGTAACACAGGTTGGGCTAGGCTGGGCATGGACGGAAAATATTCTCACGTCCCTCGGAAAAAGCAATAATTTAGAATTCAAAAACAGACAAAATCACTCTACTTTCACTCAGGGAGCACTTATATTTCATGTACTTGAGGAGCCCAATCTCCTGGCTGTAGACAAAACACTGGATGCATAGGGAAAATGGTAGATGCAGGAATTCTCAATGTTTCACTTTGAGAACAAGACAAGACATCCTTCTCCCCACTGCTGGGATCTGGCAGATATTCTTTCTCATTTTGTTAATTTTTCATTCATTAATTACTTTGTTGTAGGCATATGCTGGCATAGGAGATGAAACGATGAATACAGCACAGTCCTGCTACAGAAGAACTCAGAGCTTTGTAGTGGACCTTGGCACGCAAACCAGCACTTGACACATACTAAGAGAGATGCTGTAACAGAGGTATGTGAAAGGGTTCAATGTAATGTGCTGAGGAAAAAGAAAGCAGTGGTTGATAAATCCTATAGAACGCTGGGATGGGAACTTGGCTGGAAAGAAAAGAGGAGATAAAGCAAGATGAGGAAAACAGAAATGATGCAGAGAATAGGTCTTTAAATGAGGAAGGACAAACAGTATAGTGAAGTTTGGTTGAGTCCAGGTACATGGATATAACTGAACTAGGGGAAATGGTTGGAGAGAGGAAATCTGAAAAAATGGTAAAGAAGTAGAATGTTAGAACTTAAGACAAATGGGATTGATTGGTAAGCAAAGGAAAACACCTACCATGACTTCATAGTTTCTAGCTTAGATGTGGACCATGGAGCAGGACAAGTAGGTACCTAATATAAGTGCCTGCAGTGACCTGATAGTCTGTTAGTAGTAGACAAGCATGGCACCAATCAGTTCTTTAACAATCTGGAGCAATGCTATAGAGGAAGTGTACAGTAATGGAACTGCTCTATGATAAGAACACAGAGCACCTACTCAGAGCTGAATCAAGGTCATATAAACATTTATACAATATAACATAATTCATAATGGTATGTATATGTACTTCTAAGTTCATAAAACTCAATCAGGATGTGGTACTCTTTATTCCTCAGCCTCTGCTTGAGAGGTCAGAAAGAAGTAATTTACTCCCAAAAAGATAAAGAAACCATTCTTAATGGAGGGACCCTCTGCATCCCAGAATTCCAATTGTTCTTGAGCTGTTGTATTCTTTCTTGTCAAATATATCATATTTGCAGAGATCTTTGAATTATGTTAATGTTCTTTCACAGTGTTTGGAACCGGGCTAAGATAAAGACAGTAAAGAATAAATTCAAAATTAAATATCTTACCCCTGAAATAAATTTTTAGTTCCTGAGGTGAACTAAGAATTGTCATTAAATACCAGGAATTAAGCTCATTTTCATCAAAAGACACTGTGTATAACAAAATTCACATTAATAGCTTTTTCCAATTCTCACAACACTTACACAGACTAAAAAATACTGTTTCTGTTTAATCCTTAATAAAGTGAACCATACCTTTATGTTGGCTAGAATCTGCATTGAAGTTCATCTGTCCTTCTAGATGATTCTGTCCATTATCATCTGAATGCCTAGCATGAGGATCATTATGAAGAATATTGGGCTGGGTATCACTCTGTTCTCCCAACAAAATACTAAATAGCTGAGAACATAAAACAAATCCAATTGCTGATCCACAAAGGAAGGTTAAAAAATTCACCCAAGATTTAGAGGCCATTTCCCGAAAGTGTATTTCTGTAAAAAAAAAAAAAAAAAAAAAAAAAAGCAAGAAGTTATAATTTATAAAGGAATTAATACCTACCATGAGTTAAAAGAAAAAGACTTGATAACTTAAAAAAAAAAAAAGTTGATTACTTTTAGCCAGATGGGAAAGTTAATTCCTTCCCTATAGGAGAATATTTCTAATATTTTATCCCTTCAGTTGCTGCTAAAACACAATTAGGGACAATTCCTTTTTTTTTTCCCCCCTTATGGACAATTCTATAAAATAGATGAGTAGTAACTTGGAGAATCATGGTTAGGGTGGGATATGGTAAATAGGTCAGTGTTTGCACACAGAATTTCCTGTTCTTCCCACCAGAATCCTTTGTGAACCCAAGCCTGCTTGCCATGTTCTTTTTTGCTGTCAAAATACCTAAACCTACCTTTTTTCTCTTTTATATTACATAGTATATATTATATATGTTAGTATATATGATATAATATCCTGTGAGACATTATTACTATCATTGTTAAAACAAATGACATAAGTGGTACAAAAATTGTAAGGAGGACACAGTTCTAAAATAATTTTATTCTCCAGAAGTGGTGAAAGTACAAATGTTTAGGCTTTAAAAGACTAAAAGATGTATAATATAATTGCTAGTGTAATCATTTAAAAAATTAGTAAAAGGTTATATAACTAAAACAGAAAAAATGAAATAAATAATAAGACCAGGAAAAAAGAGAAGTGGATACAAAATAGGTGAAAAACAGAAAAAAAAAGGTAATATGGTTTATTTTAATGCAAATATATCACCAATGATATTAATGTAAAAAAGACTGAAAACTCTAAAAGATAAAGATTGCCAGCCCAGATTAGTGAAAAAATAAACCAACAACATGTTGCTTATAAGAGATATACATTAAATATATTCAGAAAGCTAAGAGCAAAAGGATGGAAAAAGATGTATCAAACTTACAAAAAGAAAGTATGCTAATATCAAAATAAATTAATGGTTACATAGTTTGTTATCTTTGTGATAATCACCAAACTCTATGTTTATGATTTATATACTTTTCTGTATCAATATTTACTGTAGCAAAAAATTTATATAAAAAAAATGCATGTGACCTTTCACTATATCCTTAATACATATTTAATATATGTATATTTAATGCAAAAATATTTATCCTTAATTCTATAAATAAAAGTATCAGGCCATGGAACTATACCATGTTCATCTTGCATCTCGATTCTCAGGCCCTCTATTAAGTAGTAATTTGAGAAGGATGACCCCAAGGAGAAGTGGAGGTAAAAGAAAGACCATGTGAGCAAAGTTGCTCAGTAATAAGGCAGAAGTAAATTACCCACATGAAACTGGCAGGTACTGGTTTACTTACTTCCTTTGCTCTATCTTAACTGCATTCTAAGGTTCAGAAAGGTAGGCCTTCATGGGTGAAGAGTATATATGTCCCACTCAGCTATCCTATAAAATTTCCTAAAGGAAAAGCAGAAACAAGTTTACCAAGTATTGTTACTATTTTCCCTGAGAGGGGTCTCAAGTTCTCCCTTGTTACTGTCCTCTTTTCCTTCTTCAGATTGGTCTTTAGTGAAATCCTTATAACAAAGGTGTAATCTGAAACCCCAGGGAAAATACCCTTCCTGGTTTAAGTGATTCTTTTGAAACTCTAAAACCCTCAAGATTATTTGCAAATGATATATCCGATAAAGAGTTAATAGCTGAACCACAGAAAGAACTTCCACAACTCCACACCAAAACCCCCCATTTAATCTGATTAAAATGAGCAGAGGACATGAAGAGATATTTTCCCAAAGAAGACATAAAGTCAACAGATACATCAAAAGATACTAAACATTACTAATCATCAGGGAAATGCAAATTAAAACCACAATGAAATATCACTCTACACTTGTCAGAATGGCCAGAATCAAAAAGGCAAGAAATAACAAGTGTTGGTGAGGATGTGGATAAAAAAAGAAACTTGTATACTGTTGGTTTCACTACTGTGGAAAACAGTATGGAGCTCCCTTGAAGAATTAAATATAGAATTACCACATGATCCAGTAATTCCACTAGTGGATATTTATCCAAAGAAAATTAAAAATGCTAATATGAAGATATATGCACCCCAATGTATACTGCAGCATTATTTACATAGGCAAGATATTAAAGCAACCTAAGTGTCCATAGATGAATGGATAAAGAAAATGTGGCATATGCGTGTGCATGTACACACACACTCACACATATGCACACACTGGAATATTACTCAGTCATAAAAGAGGAGCTCTTTCCACTTGCAACAACATGGGTGTATCTAGAGGTTGTAACATTAAACAAGTCAGGGAAAGACAAATACCATAGGGTTTCACCCATATGTTTAATTTAAGAAACAAAGCAAGGAAATTAAAAAAAGAGAGAGACCAAAACCAGAGCCTTAAAATACAGAGAACTGGTGGTTGGCAGAAGGGAAGTGAGTGGGGGATGGGTGAAATGGATAAAGGAGATTAAGAGTACACTTATTATGATGAGCACTGAGTAATGTACAGAATTGCTGAATCATTATATAAGAAAAAAAAGCTGAAGAGAACTATTCAAGAATCTGGAATTCTTTCTTTAAAATAAGTGTGTATTATTAAGACTTTACCCACAATAGAGTTAATTTGGAAGTCCCATGAATGAAGCCAAGAAAAGTGAATGAAAGATATCATAACTCCAAATTTCTTAAGGTACATGTAAAAAGATTAGCGGTATAAGATTGAAGCAATAAAACTAAAGAAAGGTTGTTAAGGTAGCATTAGCAAACACTTAAACTGAGATATCATCTAGGAGCCGCACTGCAAGCAATTCCCCACATCTTCTGATTCTCTGACACTTTCCCTTCTAGCACACTGGTTCTGATTTTCTTTTTGTACTGGCTGTGACTTCCCTCACCTTAATACCAGATATAATCACTTCACAGCCTCAGAAGGACACAGTCTAAATGAATTTTCCACTGCTATGGTCTACTCCTGGTAGCAGGGGAGAAAGCAAGCCACAGAAGGCACTGTGAGTGACAAGAGGAAGAGCTGCAAGAAAGTGAATATGTGAAGAGTGCTGATCCAGCTCCAGTAACTACGAATACTAACCTGCTACCCTATAATTTCCCAAAAGACACTGAGTTTCAGAACAAATCTACTTCTGCAGCATGGGGGATCTATCGTTTGTAGTAAATTAGTGACATAATTATGGTTAGTTTTCTTTGCTGAGGTGACATTGTTTTAGCAACACACCTGTTCTGGGGTGAGTGGAGGGAAAACTAATATTAAATATTTGTTTTTAATTAAAAAATATCTTGTGATGCTGCTGGATGGCTATCATCCTCTTACCCCTCCTCCTCCAGAGCATTATTATCAATCAACATATGCTGGCTCATCCCTGTTGCTTTTACCTCATCCTCTTAACTTCAAAGATTGTGGCTTTATGACTAAATTTCTGTTTACTCCCATTTTTCTTTCTTGTTCCTGGGATAAAATAGACATCTCATATGGGTACAATGCACCCAAAATCTTACTCTGATTTTTGGCAAAAATCAGCACTCTCAACTATTCAGATTCTTAACAAGAGTGCTGAAGTAGACCAGGTTGGAAGACATTGTGTAACTAAGTTGCACATTACAGGAGCTTCTAATATACTAAAATTAAGTGGAAGGAAGTTCTCAATGTCAACTGTTTTCCAAACATGATATGGAATCAAAATCACTTGAGGAGCATTTTAAAAAGAAAGATTTTTAGGCTTAACAATTGAGATTTTAGAGGCAAAAGAAGGGCTGGGACAACTAAATTTTATATTTTTTGCTTTATTTTTTAAGGGACAGCTTTGTATTACTCATTGTAAAAAAGAAATCAAACAATACAGAACATGGAAAAGAGAAATCCTCCTAAATTCCATCAGCCAGAAATAACTATTATTAACATTTGGTGATATCATTATAGATATGAATAACATCTTTATAAATAACAGAGATGGAAGGAAAGATAACTATAGCTAATAGTTGACCCTTGTATTTATTAAGAGCTTTACATGAGTTAACTATAAACTAGGGACTATCAATCTCATTTTACAGACAAACTCTGACAAAAAGGTTCATAATCTTCCCAGGGTCATACTAGCAATGTGAATCAAAAATTCAGATTCTTAATCATTTTACTGTAGTTTTACAGAACTGGTATGGATGGTAGTTATGTTATTTTAAAGATTTAACATATTAAGTTAGATTTACTTAAATTTACCAAAAAAGGGGGAAATTAAATCAATCTAAATGAACTCTGAAAGTCAGCTAAACATTTATGACTCTTCTCCTCTCAATGATCTTTCTAAAGATAAGACTGAAAAATATAAGGCAATTGGAGGCTCTTTTTAAAAACTACATATTTCAATTTTAGATAGTTCCTATTAATTTCTTGCTGTGAGAAGTGTGGAAATCAGCACATATACTCTCCCCCAAATGCTCAAATTTTGTGAACTATTTTTATTCTGTAAAATTTTGCACAGTTTACAATCTATAAATTATGCTGTAATTCCCATGACTGCTTAATCTTGGATATGTATTAAATTGGATTCTATGCTCATTAATAGTCTTTTTATTACAGTTCCTTTATATATGAGTTCTTCATTAATGTCATGCTTTTTGGCTGAATTTCGGCAAGTAATTTTTGTAATAGTACTCATTGGTGCTATATTCTAAACTCTTACAGGCTTGAGACTATTAAGTACTCTATAAATGAAGCACAAGTTGACCAAGTATAAACTCCGTAAATATTGATTTATGGTGTTCTCATACTGATGCTAGAAAAGATGCAGATTGATCTTTTATCTTTGTAGATAAATGGTCCTCTTCTCTAATATTTGGTTTTTAGTCATTCTACCAGTCACTAATACCTTCTCAATAAGACTTTAATGCCCTTTACAAGAGATCATGTTTTCTTTCAATTTTCAGGCTTTTAGAAAGTTAATGGAATTTACAATAAAGTCCCCAAAATCCGAGGCTTTCAGTGTTTGTTTTTTGCTTTCAAATTGTAGTATTTTATACTATATCCTACCAGGGTTGTCAGTCTACTGCTTATAAGTTTTTCTGAATTATAGTATTAATTTGCTACATTTACATATTCAACATGCATTTCTCTCCATAAACTACATTAAAATGATTTTTGGTAGTTTATTTTTTCCCTTAAAAGACTTTCCTTACAAAACTGAGATGAGGTACGTCTGGGTGGCTCAGAGGTTTAGCACCTGCCTTCGGCCCAGGGCATGACCCTGGAGTCCCTGGATCGAGTCCCACATTGGGCTCCCTGCATGGAACCTGCTTTTCCCTCTGCCTCTCTCTCATGAATAAATAAAATCTTAAAAAAAAAAAAAACAACACAAAAAAACCTGAGATGAATCTTATATAGTGATTCAATGCATAAATGCTTACAAATACAGTGTATGTACAAATACATACAAATGTATGAAGCATTATGTTTAAAACTTTTGTTTTCTCTGATCTTCACAACAACTGGAATACTTGATAGTAGTATCTCTATATTACAAATGAGGAAACTGAGTTTCAAAGAAATTAAACTGACCCAAACCACACAGCCAACATGTTAGGATTCTAACTCACATTTCACTTAAAAGTTTGTAGGCTTTTTCCCATTATACCACAGTTACATTTATAGTTACCCACCAACTTCCCATATCTTTCTCCCTTTCTAAAAGTATCTTTAAGTGGAAGATAAGAAGATATTGTTACCAGCACAAGAAGAAACTATTTTTGGTCTATTGATAAATCTTGAGATGTAAAGAAGATGTAAAAAAAAAAAAAAAAAAAGCCCATGAGCTCGAAGAAGGACTGTGAAAATGTTAAGAGTTGCTGAAAGACCAGAACTGGTTTCAGACTAAATTTTCATGCCTCTGCTCTCCTACTACTAATCTTGCTAATAACAATTCAAATGTTTCTTTATATGAATTCTTCAAAAGGTTTATTGCTGAAGACTTAATCCATATCTCATATTCAATACATTTTTCACTAAAAAGAAAACTCCATTACATAAAATTTTACTTGCTATATTCCCTTGTACTTTTCTTCTAACATTTTGAGAATATTTCTACTAATTTTATTTCTTTATAAGTTTCTGATTTTTGAGCTAAGCTGCCAAGATGAGATACTACTATATGGAAGTGTTAAAAATCAAAAATCATTTACAATTATATGGCACTGCTAAATACTGGGAAAAGCTAAAACAAAATATCTTTCCCTGTTCTCATGGAATTTACAGTGCTGTTAATTACACAGGGGCTCATAAATAGCAATGAAAGAGACACATCTAAAGCAGTGCTTAAGGAAAACTTACAGAACTAAGTGCTTATATTAGAAAAGATAAAAAATCTCAAATGAATTGACTCAAGCTCCCACTTCAAAAATCAAGAAAAAGAGAAAAATAAGCCTAAAGCAA